CTGCTTTCTATTCTCTTGCATTCAAATTTTTCGCATGTGAACTTAACTGGGTCCCAAGCATCTCCAGCAGCATTGAAATAATAGTTTACTTCAGTGTTGAGGTTTGAGAAACCAAAGTCTAAGTCAACTTTGTCTTTGCAAAATTCGGCGAATGACGTTTTATTTGTTCCCTTTACGTCTGTAAGAGTGAATGGGTCTTGTGTTGGTGCAATGACTAAGTTATTTTTGCTTGGAGTAAGTTCGATAGAAATTTTTCCTGCCCAGTTTGGCAAGTATCTTAAAAACCTGAAGATGAGGAAAGATGACAAAGGAACTCTAAGTTTCAGTTTTACTTTAGTGGCAGCAGTTCCATCTGAACCAGAAAGGTTAACATAAACTCCTGGAACGTTAGGGTCAAGTCTTCTTATTTTCTCAATAGTTGCATACTGGTCTGTTTGTTCTCTAGCTTGTGGTTGTACTGAGTTTCTTAAAGCGAACCATTCATAGTTTGCCCATGTTACTGTTTGAACTAAGTCAGAGTTAGAATATATCTTATATCCCATGAAAACTTCTGGAGCATATTGGTATCCGACATAGAAAATTCCATTGCAACCTTTCTTTTCAGACAACTTGGCAGAAGGTTTTATTTCAATGTCTTGTTCCACGTATAAGAAAGAGTTGTCAATAGAAATAATATGAAACCTGTCGCAAGCAATATCTACTGTTGTTGAAGAACCTTCTCCAAACTCACCTACGTTTCCATAAGAAACAGCAGTTGTATATTCGTAAGTTCCAGGAACTATTTCTGACCTTCTAATGGCATTGTCGCATTCGTTATACCATTCGGAAACATTTCCATTCATGGCATCCAAAACTGTTGGCGTTATATTCTGAGCGGCGTACATTTCATATGGGTAAAAATATAGAATAGTTGGATTTATATGTCATAATAGAACCCACTCGGACCAAGCTTTACTTTCTTCCTGACTGAGTTTTTAACTCTTCTTTTTCCTTCATTGCCACTACTTTCACTAGATGAAGTTACTTCTTCACTACTTTCACTTTGTTCTACTCTCTCTCTTCTTCTTTGGTGTCGCTTTTGGTAACTTGCCCTCTGCTTCAAGTTGTTGCATCTTTGCCTCATGTTCACCTAGTATGTTGTAAATTTCCCATGTCCTTTTTGCCTTTGGGCTCTGGTCGCCCATCTCAGGTAACCTATATCCTAGAAAGATTTTGTCATAGTTTGTATTTGAGTCTTCGCGTATTGTTTGCATGACTCTTTCCTGAGTTTCCGGTTCAAGCTCTTCAAACAGAGCTTGTCCATATGGAATAAGCTCGTTTCCAAATATATGTTTTTGTAGCCATTCTGGTTTTCTTTCCATGTTACCAATAATATCTTTTGTGAATGGGAAAGCTTTTACCCAATGTTTCAGTCTTTCGTCATTTATTTCTGTAGTTGGTTTTATTTTGTCAAGGAACATGTTTTTCAATACTAACATTTCATTTGGTACTGTCCATTTGAGTTTTCTTAAATATTCATCCCTTCTCGGTTCATTGTCTGCAAAGTAAGTTTTTATGACATTTTGTAAACTTTCGTTTGCAAGGTCATGTACAATAGGTTCTCTTCCTTCTCTCTCCCTAACTGTCTTTCTAAACTCTTCACCAAATATACCATCTCTATGGTTCTGTGTAGTTCTTTGAGATAAATGTTTTAGAACGTCAGGTGTTATATTTCCATCAGCCATGTTCATTTCATACTGGTTCAAAATATCTGCATCTTTCATATCTTTCAATGGCATTAAAGCCGCGCTGAAAATACCAGCTATATCTGGTTCACCATTCACTTCCATTGCGTCTACAACTTCTTGGAATTGTGGTTGTAAGTTTATGAACCACCTATCCGGATTAGCTTTATGACCCCATCTCATTGTAGTTCCATAGTCTGCAGAAACAAAAGTAGGTTTGTTTCCATATTGGTTAGGTTCTGAATGAACTTTAAACAATGTTTCATTTCTATATGTTTTGTTGAAATTTAACCTTTTATTTTCACCGAGTTCAGCCAAAGATTGAACGTTATATGGTCGTAAGTAAAAAGGATTGTTGTATTTGCGTACATTATCTTTCAGTACTTCCATTCTATGCTGAATATTTTCATCTGATGTTGGAGTCTTTTGTATGTCGGCAAACATTTTTCGATATTCTTCTACTATGTCAGCCGAATTTTTTTTAGACTCTTGGAAAGATTCCATATTCACCTCATACTCTTGTTGAGGGTCAAGATTTTTCGGCTGTTCCAAATCTTCATCTAGTTCTGTGAGGTTAGTTTCCAAAGGAGGGACTTGTTCGTTTCCTTCAGGCTCTTCTAGCTGTTGTTGCTGAACTATTTCTTCCATGTCTGGTTGTATCTGAACTTCTTCCTGTTGAGTTTCTTGTACCTCATCTGCTGGCATTTCATATATTCCGAGACCGTTTTTAAAAAGTTCCCTATCTAAGTCATCCGGACTCATAAACCTTTCTTCTTTCGTTCCGTCTCTATTTTTTACGCGTTTCATGAAGAGAGTTGAATTGTCATTTAGCTCTGACACCAAATATCTCGGAGTAAATTCGTTCATGTCATTTGGATGATATGCTATTAAATCATATCCCTTAGCGAGCTTGTATTTTCCAGGTTTGAAATTATATCCCATTTGGTGCTGAACCATAAAGCTAAATAGGTTCGGGTCTGTATTTCCTTCCTTGAACTTTCTAATAGCTTCTTTATATCTGTCACTAAAGTCAAGAGTATCTGGGTAACCATATTCTTCCTTAAGCATTTTTAAGAAATCTTGGTTTCCTTGTTCTCTACTTCTTTTATGTCCTTGCTCTGTTTGTGGTTGTTGTGCTGGTTGTGGAGGTGGTTGTTGTGCAGGGTTTTGAACTGTTGGTTGCTGTGCTGGTTGTGGAGGTGGTTGTTGTGCAGGGTTTTGAACTGTTGGTTGCTGTGCTGGTTGTGGAGGTGGTTGTTGTGCTGGTTGTTGTTGTTGTTGTGGTGCTGGATTTTGAACTGTTGGTTGTTGTGTTGGTTTTGGTGCATGCCTGTGTCTGTGTCCATGTGACGATGTAAATGTTTTAGGTAGTCCTGGTGCAGGTGCTTCTCTTGGAGGGTTTGGTGGTATATAAGTTCCACTAGCTAGTATATAAGTTCCACCAGCTGGTATATAAGTTCCACCAGCTGGCACATATGTTCCATCTGCAGCATAATGTCCTACCTGACTTTTCGTTCTTAAGAAAGCATTTACTAGGTCTCTTTTGGTCTGTTGTAACTCTTTTTCTTGACTTTCCACAACAGCTGTTCTAACGGCGTCATGGGCACTTTGAACTGCCTGTCTCGTTGCTGCATCTGTTATTTTCGTCATATTTTGTGCTACTTCTTTTAACTCTTTGTCGAAACCTTCAGACTTCAGTTTCTTTCCAGATGAGAAGTCGTTCACTAGTTTCACCTTACTATGAAGAGCTTCGAAGGCGTTCTTAAAGTCAGCATTCGTTAAAGCTTCATTTGAACTGTCTTCATCCGCTTGTATTTTTGTCCTTATTGACCCTATAAGTTGGGCTGCTTTAGCGTTGGCTTGGGCGTCTAACCAGTCATTATTAGCTTTTATATATTCTGCGCTTTTCATTGCCTTTTGCATGGCTGCGTCGTTATTTTTACTTTCTTGTGCTAAGTTTTCATACTGTACGGTTTGGTTTTGCAACTGTAAAAGTTTTTCTGCCTTTACATTTGCTTCAACTTCTTTTTTATACTCATCGCTATCCATATATGTCTTCAGGGCTTTTTGTTTTATTTCTTCATCTTTCAGTACTTTATATTGAGTAGTATGGTTTTTCAAATTTATAACATCTTGTTCCATTTTTGCTACTTCTGCTGCTTTTTCTGACACTTTTTTCGCATATTCCTCTGTACTTAGTTCTTTCAGTTGTTCTTCTTTCTTCTTTTTCTCTACGTTTAACTCATTGAGTTTCTTTGTGTGTCTGTCATATTCTAGTTTCTTTTCGTTTTCACTTATTTGTTTCTGTATGTCTATGTTTGACTTTTTGACATCTGTTATTTGATTTTTGAGTGAACTCAAATTCATTTGACTTTGAGGGTTATAAGCTGTTCCGTCTGCAGCTCCACCATAGCCTGCCATTTTCGCTAAAAGTGCCGCTCTTAAACCTCCACTCTGTGCACCAATAACTCGGTTTAAAAGCATAGGGTTGCTTGACATTTGTTGCAACATAGTGGGGTCATTCAGCATTTGTTGTTGCAACTGTTGTTGTGGTGTCAGTTTTACTATTGGATGTTTCAATGCTCCCTTCCTCTTACGTATATTCTTACGTAGCTTACGTGGCATTTTAAGTGAAGTTAAAAAGCGGTTTTATACTAAACATCTTCGGGGCTAGAGGGCGCAACGCGCCTGGAAGCCCCACTACCTTTTTTTTTCAAGTAGATGTGATTTGATTCTGTACAACTAAATATTAATATATTTAAAACATTGTAGAATTAAAATTTTTGACGATATCAATTTATAAAAAAAATGCAAGCGAATCCTTTTAATAAAGCTAAGATACGATTTGCTTCACTTTGTCCACCTAGTAAAGTGTTCAACACAGGGAGCATGGACTGGGAAGCATGTGGGCTACTTGCATTAGCCGGTAAAGGCACAATTTATCTCTATAAAACTACTAAAAATGATATTTCTTTCTTATGATCCATTGAAATTCTAAATTCTAACATAACTTGCCTTAAATTCCACTATGAGCTACCTTATCTTGCAATTTCAGACGATTGCGGAAGAGTTTTGTTATGGGATTGTGAATCAGGTCTTACACTCGGAATCACTCGTCAAGTATCTGAAGCTCAGTATGTATCGGAGCTTCAATGGTCCCGTAAAATCGTTTTAGGCTTTGCAGAACCAAATACAATTTATAGTATCGATTTTTGGCCGTATGAAGCTGAAGATCAAGCGAAAAACTCACGAATACTTTGGAAGATAGATGTTCCTGGTACATATACAAGGATGGCTGTTAATAGTTCAGATATATTCACTGCAATTCTATATTCTAATGGTCCATCCTTTACAATTATCACGTCAAAGAATGCCAAGCAGGCTCCAACATCTCAATCTCAATCCCATACTTTAGATAAATCAGAAAAAATCGTAGAAATTCAACATCATCCCCATATTAGTAATATTTTATTAATTATGCTTGAAGGAAAAATACTTACGTTTAACATAGCGACCAAATCTGGCCGAAATCTTGTAATCGATGAATCATCCCAATCATCTTTCCATAAACTGCTTCCTTCTTTAACAAATGACAACGAAATTACAGTTTATGGTCAAGACTCGTCACTCAGTATCTATATCTGTAACGAAGACTACATTTTTACAAAATCAGGAACAATAAAATTGAAAAGAGAGCTGTTTGACTTAAAATCGAAGTATTTACCACTATCCGCTGCATGTAACCGTGCACTTCCCGAGCGATACATCGCGTTCTCTCCATCAAATGGCTTAGTTATGTTTGCCATAAAAGATGATATACCTTACGTCATCGCGCAGTCTCAAATTATACCACAGATACCAACCTGTTACGATTTCTACGACGGAATCCTTGCTTTCGGCACTCCAACCGGAAAGATAATTTTCGCAGACGTTTCAGAAGGGAAATACACACAGAACTACCTTGCATCCAGCACATCCATTGAAAAGATCAAGTTCCTTACCAAAGATGTCCTTCTGTGGTACTCAAAAACCGAGTGTGGATCAATAAATCTTCCCAAGCGCCAAGTTATTCCAATCCACACTCGCCTTGGCCCTGCCACAGACCTAATATGTTCAGAGGAGCTCGGCGTTTTCGTCCACGGCAAATACGACCTTGGTATTTTTTATGATGTCAAACAAAAGCCGATGACTCTTCAAACATCCATCACCGCTGTTGCAGTCCAAGTATCCAGAATACCAGCAACATGTTTCCAAGGCGATACTCCCAATTTCGCCGTATTATTATCTACCGGAGAAATCCAAGTCTACACATACAAGAACGGCATAGCACAGATGCCTGTTCTGAGGCTGCGTAACTCACGGGAGAACTCCAGGACAACTTGTCTTGCTTGGAAAGGCGATTGCATCATAACTGCTGACACAGACGGCGTAATTATGTTTTACGACTTTGCTTTCGGTACATCGAAGCAAACATACTCTCCTTTCATCGACATAGACAGGATAGAGTTCGAGAGATCATCCAGCGGATTGTACGTACACGCGAGAGACGGAAAATTTGGTTTTTCACTTGAAAAAGTGGAAAGTTGTCCTTTTTCTGTTTCCTCATTCGCTGTAACAGGAAATGGACTCGTCCTCGTCTCCCCGCTCAATGACGAAGCCGTGAAATTCGTTATTGCAAGAGACTGGAGATCTGTAAAAAGAATCACTTCACCTGCCCTCTTAAAACCGCTAAAAACCGCCCAGCAACGGTTAGAGCTTATGGGTGAGCAATTATTAACGAATCCTACTACAGGAACATGGTCAGAAGCACTTCAAATAGCTGAGATAGCTAATGACCATGGATTTCCAACTGATTCCATTATTTGGAAGTGTGTTTCACGTAGTTTGGGAGGTCCGAGGTTGCAAGCACGACATTCCATGTTTGGAGGGAAAGAAGAAGTTGTTTCCGCGTTGAGGATTCAATCTTCTCTGTTTTCTCCTGCAGATACTCCGATTTCTGCCATTTTCAACTTGTTGTTCAAGTTCAGAATGGGTGATAGAAGAGGAGCTGTCGAAGTTTTCAAGAGTCTCTCCAACAAAAGCGAGTTCACAATAGTGGCAAGCATTTGTTCGGCGTTGCTTCTCGGTTACGAAGATAAAATTTTGCCACAAAACGTGACAGAATTTTTGATAACAACCGCTGTTCCACTTTTTGCACAGCACAGATTTATAGAAGGCTGTATATTGATGCATTTAGCTGGCGCTAATCTTTCTGCCGCAAGATATCTTCAGGACAACGGAAGATGGGAAGATTCTGTCGAAGTCTGCAAATTGGAAGAGTTTTCGAATGAGTCGAAGAGTTTGTTGAGAAGAGCCGCCCACCACTTCTTGGATACTGGAAATGCAATGAACGCTTTGTTGCTGTTCATATCAATAAGAGATTTCCATCCTGCTTTGGCAATTTTGATGCAGATAAAATACAAAGCTCTCGCGTTTCATTTGATGATGTTCTTGGATAGGGCTGATGTAATTAAGCCGTACGACGAAGACACTTCGAGATACGCAACACAGTTTGCGGATTTGGATACTTTGAGACAGGATATAATTGTCAAATATGACAAAATAATTAAGAAATAATTTTATTTGTATATTTATTTTCTTTATTTATAAAAAAAAGTCGAAAAAAAATGAAATTGTTTATATCGCATTTTCAATGATCTTTCAAGCCAGTTGTCAGATAGAAAAAAATTACGCATTTAACAAAGTTAAAGGGGAAAAGCATCCTGAAATTACGAAACATTTTAAAAAAAAATAAAAAAAAATAAAGTGGGAAAGTCTGGAAATGATATGCTATGTATTGTAATTTTCAAAACTCAGCTTTCTAATGGAGCTATCACTTGTTACGTAAACTATATATATCGAATCAAAAGTTTGCCATGTTGTAATTTGATTTACAAGACATGATTTAATTAAAAAATAAAGGGTTTAAAATATAAAATAAAATATTTATCAAAGAAAAAAAGTTAAACTAAAAAATATATCAAAATAAATATTATATTAATATAAAGAGGTAGCAGTTTGACCAGCTGGATCTGTGATAGAAACTGTAATTTTAACCGTTGAGTCTTCAGAAATCTTTGAAGGAGCTGCAATTTGGAAAATTGTTTTCACTTTAGGAGAATATAATTTTCTCTTAAAATATACAAAAATAGTAATATCAATACATGTGTATAATATATAGGGTGTCCAAAGGTGCGTTTAGCACAGCGCTCTATATGAGACTATTAAAGGAGATATATGCTGATTATAAATATATAATAAAAAATATGAATATATGTATATGATGAGTATGTTGTATTTTGGCGCCATGCCGGGATATAAAATGAATTTTGAGACAAGAGGCGGTTTCGCGGGAAATTTTGGCGGGATTTTTTTCATTTTTTTAATGAATCATAAAGAAAACATCCTCGCTCTTGCAAAAAATGCAAAGACTGTAAAAAAATCTACGAGACATTGGTAAAATGCTTCGGTATGGATGCTCCTAGCTATTCCACTGTAACGTATCATGTTAGGATGTATCACTTCATGAACAAAAAGGCGCCCATCATAAAAATTGACAAAAAATCGCCGGATCAAAGAAAAATCAAAGCAATTCTTCAAGCGCTAGATGAAGACCCAAGAGCATCACTTAGAAGGATAGAGGAGATGACAAAGATACCACGTACAACAGTCAGTTATTATCTGCACAATTATTTGAACTACAAACTAGCGTATACACGTTGGGTTCCGCACAACCTTAATTCAGTTCAAAAAAAATCTAGAGTCCAATCTTCGAAAGAGCTCCTCTCTATATTGGGTGCGTATCAATCCAAGAAGTTTCGCTTTTTAGTAACAGGGGACGAGTCTTGGTTTCAATATGCAACAGAAGCCAAAATCATATGGATCCCGAAGGATGAAAATGTTGTAAACGAAAACGATAAAAACGGTTTGACAGTAAAGTGACACTTTACATGGCAAAAAATAGAGCCTTACTTTTGAGATACTTGAGATTGAAACTGAATCTTATGAGG